CTCACAATAAATAAACCTCTGTGAGTCACTGGTCACCGCTGAGGCCTGTATTGGCCTGTGAAGCTGTGACACTTCAAAGGACAAGATAAGGCCACAGCTGAGGACATTTGGCTCCAATCCTAATTAACTGCAAGGAGACTGCAGCTGCAGGCTCCACACTCCTGCAATAAATGCCAGCCTAAAGATAAGGTAGTTCTCCTGACTGATATAATTTACTACTTGGGAAAATTTTCCCAAGGTCATGCTAGATTCCTGCATCTTCTTGAGTATCCTCCTCCTGCTTGAAAACCAAATAAATACAGGGTGCCCAGAGAAGTCTTTGTCTAAACTTAGAGAATAGCAAAGCTATAAGAGAGTGAGACCCTCCTGGGGCCCTGAAACCATTTCTATTGTCTCATTTATTTAAGCCTTTGCCATCCACTCTCTTGGAGATTGCGAGCCTGATCAACCCACAATAACTAAGGGTTATTTAACCCCATAAGAAAATCCAAAACATTGTACAGATAATATATTAAAATTAATAATTGAATGTAACAAGATATATAACTATATATAATATATGATATCATATATATAAATATATATATAATATCCATGTACCAATTATACTTAGCTCTCTATATGTAGGGGTTCTATATCTAGAAACAATGACAGATTAAAAATGTAAAAATATTCCATCTGTATTAAATATGTACAGACATTTTTTCCTGTCAGTATTTTTTAAACAATGCAGTATAATAACTATTTAATAGCACTTGTGGTCTATTAGTTTTTTGTTTTTTGTTTTTGTTTTTTGTTTTTTCTCTGGTACCGGGAACTGAACTCACGACCTTGCGCTTGCCAGGCAGGCGCTTTGCCACTGAGCTAAATCCCCAGCCCCACTTGTGGTCTATTAGGTATTATAAATAATCTTGACATGATATCTTGGAGAATGTGTGTAGGTTATATGTAGATGTGGTGCCATTTTATGTAAAGGACTTGAGCTTCCAAGGGAAGCTGAAATTAACCCCCAAGAGGGACCGAGGAAAAACTAACTGTACAAGCCTAAGAAAATGAAATCAGAATACCATTTACAATAATGCAGACTCTTAAATCATGAGGTATGAAAGTAACAAATTATATGTAAGACTGTACATATAAAATTGTAAAACTTATCTGAAATTTTAAAAGCTCTAAATAAATTGAAAAATGTTTATGGATTGAAAGACAGCTTTGTAAACATACCAATTCTTCCCAAATTGATAATTTTGTATGTACAATCCACACAAAAATACCAACGATGTATGTGTACATGTATAAATTGCAAGATGATTCTAAAATGTGAAAATGCCAAATCTTGAAGGAGGACAAAATTAAGGGTTTACACTGCCAGATACCAAAGCTTATTATAAAACTATGCTATTTAAGGCAATATGCTTCTGGAATAGAAATAGATACCCAGGTTTACGGAAGAGAATAGAGAGTCAAGAAACAAATCCAACATACATGGGCACTGGCTAATGAAAAACTGGGTACTGCAAGGTTGTGTGAGAGAGATTTTTTTTCCCCTTTAAAATGATGCTGGCTTAGCATGCCGATGCCCTCTTGCATTCTGATTCTACAGGCAGCTGTTGTAAGCCTACCTTGTAAATTCATTTATTTTTATGGACTATATTAAATCCATTTCTCTAGGGAACCAAACCTGATACAGATTTCATAGAATTTATTATTCAATGGAGAAAGGCATTTTAATTTAATTATGTAAATTAAGTGGGTTGAAGTGAGGGACAAAGGCCCATAGATATTCAAACTCATTGCAGAACAGTGCAATGGTCCCAGGTACTGAGAACCTATTGAATAAATGGGCGTTTTGCTAAGTTTAAAAAAATGATGCTGGTTCATTTATTTATTTATTTGTATTTTGCTTTTGTTTGTTTTTTTTATGTTTTTGAGACAGTCTCACTATGTAGTTCAGGCTGGCCTTGAACTCACTTTGTAGCCCAGGCTGGTCTCAAACTCACAATGATCCTCCTGCCTCAGCCTCCAGAGTGCTGGGATTACAGGCATGAGCCACCATGCCCAGATTGCTGGCTTATTTCAAAGGAAGAGTCTTGGCTCTGTTCCCATTGTGCACAAAACTCATTTTCAGTGGGAAGATAAATTTAAATGTTAAAGTTAGCATGATAAATATTCTAGAAAGAGAACAGAAGAATATATCCATGAGCTAGGAATTGGGAAAGATTTCCTGAATAAGACCAAAAAAGAAAAAAAAGTATTAACCATAGATTAAAAGAGTATGATATTTGGCTATGTGCGACCTCTAAATCAAAGGTGAAAGAGAGAGGGTACAAAAGCAAGCCGTGGAATGGGAAAGGTAATTATAATACATATGTGATGTATCAGAACTACAGTGAATGCTTAAATTTTAAAAAATTACAGTAAAGATATATAGACATAAATCCCTTTCAAAACATTCCTCCTCACTTCAAACACTCGTATTTCATCATTCTCACCACTTTCCGAAGCAGTTTTGGAAGTCCTATTTTGTGTCTTTTTGAGGTGTGATTTTTAAAAAAATACAAAGATAACAGTATGTGGTGTAGTAACCATTGTTAATTCCTATCATTTTGTTTTGAGGTCATGTATCATTTTTGTTGCTTCTGTGTTGTTTTTGTTTTTGTCTTCATTGTTATTTTTTTGTTAGTTTTTTCTCTTTAAAATAAAAAAAGAAAGCCTTGTTATTAAAAAAAACAACAACAGCAAAACAAAAACAAACAAACAAAAAAAAACAGTAAATGCTGCTGTCCAGTGGCATCTCATGGAAAGCAGGCTCATAAAAAAATTATGGTATGTCTTCATCTACCTTATTCACCAGATCAGGCCTGTACAACTTCTGGCTCCTCCCCAAAGTGAAAATGACCATGGAAGGTAAGTATTTTGAATTGATTCAGGACATCAAGGCAACCATCATAGTGCAACTGTAGACACAAAAAAGGACTTTCAGAACTGCTTCAGAAAGTGCCAAGAACATTGGGATAAGTGCGGCTGATGTGAGGAGGAATATTTAGAAGGAGAATAATGGCAATGTGTCTTTTATGGTAATAATTTTTAAAATTTTAAATATTCACTACATCTTTTGATCATACCTACTATACCTAACATTAATTCATATAGACATGTATCAAATAGGTGCAAGAATATTCATAATTACAATATTTGTGATTACTCTAAATTGAAAACAATTCAATGCCCCTTAAGAATAGAATTAATTAGCAATATTCTATTCATGTAGTAGAATGTGATGCCATGATGTAAATAACCAAAATGAATACATATTGAAACAGAATATTATGCAAAAGAAGCCTGATACAGCAGAATACACATTCAGTGATTTATTTTATCTAAAAGTGTGTGTGTGTGTGTGTGTGTGTGTGTGTGTGTGTGTGTGGTACTGGGATTGAACCCAGTACCTTCACACTTAACTGCATCCCCAGCTCTTTCTATTACTTTTTATTTTATGATAGCGTCTTGCTAAGTCACTAGTACACAAGCTGCGCTTGAACTTGTGATTCTGCTGCCTCAACCTCCCAGAATGCTAGGATTGCAAGCATGTGAAACCACACACGGCTCATTTTCTATAAAGTTTAAAACAAACAATTTATGGTGTCAAAAGGTAGATGTGGGTTTTCTTTTCAGAGAAGGGAAAGGTCATGACAGTGGCTTTTGAGGTGGTGATAATGTTTCCTGATTTCACTGGTATATTCACTTTGTGAAAATCTATCAAACTGTGTACTTAAGAATTTTGTACCTTTCTCTATGCATGTTAATCTTAAAAATATTATTTAAAAAGATAAACTAGCATATTGATAAGTCATCTGGAAAATTAATTCTCAAAAAGGGAAACCAATGAGAAAGATATCAGATATAAAATTTAGGTTTGTAAATTAACTTTCTAATTCCAAATTTTTAAAATGTATGGCTTACACATTGAATGTTTAAAAATATTTATCTCAACAACCCTGAGCAAAACCTTGATGTCTTATTTTTTCTCCTGTAGTAGTAGGATGACAGGTTGACCTTTCTCACTGCAAGTCACTGTCATATTAACTCACAAAGACACCTTTGATCTTAGCCACTGCCCTTTAGCAATTCAGATATGGACCATTACTTTTAATATAAGTGGAGCTGATCCCCGATGTTTGGTGATAATAATGCTCTTGGTGTTTGATGATGATAATTAGAAAGTCATAGTCTAAACCTGTCAACTCCTGATCTCTGGTATAGTACAGAAAGGTCTCCAAACCTCTGCATTTATCTTCTCTTTTCCATTTTCTGGGCTTTTTTTTTTTCTTTATATGTGACTTTACAGCATCCACAATAATTAACAGTAAATGCGTATAGTACTAAAAGTAAATGTATGCATTGCATTTGTAGCCTCAAACATTCTTACCATTGGTGTGCCCAAACAAAGATACATGCTGAATACTGGTTTAATTAAAATGCTGTAAGTACTCAGAGCAGAGCTGGTTGCCGGCATTCTTGTCTGGCGATGTGATAACCAAGGTACTTCTACATTCAGCTGTCTAGTGCTGCAGGGTTGGGGAGGTGGTGTTGGCTTAGAGTGTTATGGTTTACTGGTATTTGATTTGCATTAGATTCTCTTGGGATGTTCATTGTGCTGTTTTAAACAAAAAGAGGCGGGGGCTGGGGATTTAGCTCAGCGGCACAGCGCTTGCCCGGCAAGCACAAGGTCGTAAGTTTGATTCCCCGTACCAGCAGAAATAAATAAATAAATAAATGAAAAGAGAGCTGAGTACAATGGCACATGCCTGCAATCCCAGTTACCTGGAAAGTAAAGGCAGAAGGATCATGAGTCTAAGACTAGTCTCAAAAAATAAAAACAAAGATTGCAATGTTGAAAAATGTTTTTCGTATATGTGCTGCCGAAGCGAGCACATAAAAATTATTTTTATTTGGAAAGTTAATATTTAACTTTGATTAACTGCCTTTTTATATCCTAGGCTGACCAGATATCTGGTTTTCATATAAGATCTGTTCTCTGCGTCCCTATTTGGAATAGCAACCATCAAATAATTGGTAAGACATTACTCAAACAGTTCTAACTTCTTTTGTAAAGGAACAGAAATATACTTTAAAATGCACCATATCATTTTTATGTGTTCCCCCTTATTATGCCCGTGACTCACCATGTCTGTACTACCTCATAAGTACAAATTCCTAATGAATAGACATTAATCAGAACATAAACAAAATTTATTAAGCTCAAAGAACCAATAAATTTTGAAGTCAGAGGGAATCGCGGAAGCTAGTAGAAGTCTTTTATCTTACTTTGAAGCAAAAAGGGAAAGAGTGCAATGACTTGAACAAGGTCGCAAGGTTAGACAGTAGCAGGGTCAGCATCAAAATTCAGGTCTTCTAACTCCTGGTACAAACTTTGCAGTATGTCTGTATCTTTTATCTGTGCTTTTCCACCTACTGTAGTTCTGAAATAGGTTACAATTCCCAGTAGAAGATAATTGTGAATAGAAGTAGCCTCCACTTTTTTCTTTCTAACTGCCCTTCTCCATCCCTTCAAAAAAAAAAGAATTAAAGTTAATACAGAAACTCAGGTAAAAAGAGTCCATGGTTGAAAAAGTCATAAAGGATGGAGGCATTGTTTAAAATTATTGAAACATAATCAAAATATGATTTTTTCTTGTCCCTAACAGATGTAAGGTAAGCAACGTATGTAATATATAATGCATCTTTTGGCCTCTCTGCCTTTCCCTAAGCTTGCCTGTTAAGCTCTAAGATACTGCGAGCTAGCAAAGGATTTAGTATTCTGCAAGTGTGGTCCAGACCTGAGTTTTGAAAGATTGTTTTCACTGGAGTGTTTAATTTGCACAAAAATATTAGTACTTTATTGAATGTAGAGTATAGTCTAAGACCTGAGACTCTGTGCCCCTCGTACAAACAGGAATTAAATCACATCATATACAAAATTTTAGATGTATTTACATTTAAAGAAAGGAGAAAGTCCATGAGAAATACCACAGGTTGTTTGTTGATTCAATGACAGTCTCACATACAGTTTTGCATTTCGGTCCTAACAGTGAACATGTTATTACATCAAAATTGGGACTGTAGTTTGCTTGTTACATGCTAAAATTTTGCATTTCATTATATATATTCTCTAGCATAGGATCAGTTACTTCCCTGGTGAGGAGTTAGATTTTTTAAAAACACCAGCAAGCACATTTTAGAATAACAGCTATTTTTTGTTTGTACTAAATGGGGACACAGACTAGTGGGTTTTCAAGATTATTGGGATTTTCTTATTAGACTGCTGTGCTGTGGAAGCATGCCCTAAAACAGCTGGAAGAATGCCATAAATGAACTTTGAAAGGAGGCGGCATTCATAAATTGAGTTGTTAGAGCTATGCAAACCACTGGTAGCAAGCAACAGAACTAACTTCGCTTTAAAAGTTCATGATATATCAATTTCTATTGCTTGTGGTAATTCCTATACTTCTTCAGTGTTTCCTTCATGCGGAGCAATACGTGGTTCTACAAACATTTAAACGTTATCTCAATATGGAGAACAAAATAGTAGTTACCAGGGGTGAGGTAAAGGGAGGAAAAGGGAAGATGTAGCCTAGAAGGTACAAAGCAGCACAATACATAGGAGAAAAATGTAGAGCTCTAATTACAACATGAGGACAGGTAATTAAATTATGCTGAATTTGGGAGTCATTCTAATGGAGTAGACTTTAGCTGCTGTTGCCACACCTAAAAGTGTGAGTGGATGGATCTATTTATCTGCTTCACTACGGTAAGGTTTTTACTCTTTCTATGTGTCCCACAGCATCAGGTTGTACACCTTAAATACACATAATAAAATTTTTAAAAAATTATCTCAGTGAATCTTCACAACCATCTAAACTAGTCCATCTTTGAACTCCCACTTTACAATGAGAAATCCTAATGCTAAAAATGTTAGATGATAATTTAGGGTCACACAGCTGACAGTGGAGTTTGCATTTGAACCAAGACCATCTAAAATCCAGAGCCTATGTTCCTAATCACAGCCTTGCTAAAACATTGATAAAGTTATATTCTTATATATATTCTCTGTTTCTGTTTCTGTCTCTGTTTCTTTCTCTCTCTTTCTCTCTTTCTCTCTCTGTCACACGCACACATATCATTTGGGTATTTGTGTGTCTATGAATCACACACATTCGCCAGCTCTATCAGAGTTGTGATACATAGGAGTTTAAACTTGGTGTCTACAAATAATGGAGTTAGAGCCTACACCAACACAGTAACACAATGTCTGGTACAGAAAATGACCTCGTTCCTCAAACTTTTTCATAGGAGTGGCTCAAGTATTGAACAGACTTGATGGGAAACCTTTTGATGATGCAGATCAACGACTTTTTGAGGTAAGAAAATAACTTTATAAACCAAGGGTCATAGCTGAGTCACTGATAGTCTCCTGGTCACAGCTTGCCCACATTTGTAAGGAGAAATTATCCTTAATTATAATTATATTTAAACAGGGTACCAAAATGTAAAGGAAGATTTGAAGAATATATAAATGCATAGGTAAAAATTGATTGTTTTTCTCTTAGCAAATTCTTTTGCAGTTTTTTTTATCTTAATTTCATTACAAAATCGTCTCCCCTTTTCTTCTGCAAATTATTATTGTCCCATCCTTGTCTGGTTTGTATGTGTTCAGAGACCTGCAATCCTCAGTCAGCTTAGCCAGGGGTATCACCCACACTGTCCTTTGGCTTCCCAATTTCCTCCAGCTGGAGGCCTTCAGTGGGTCTCCTTCCGGTACCAGTGACCCCAGGAAAGCCAAGCTGTTTTTACTAGCCCAGAATATTTAGTAGATTTTTCATCAACTCATTCTAAATCAATCTCCCTTCCCCTTAAACCTTACCTTGTAGTTACTCTCACTTCATTTAGCAAAATATTCTACAGCCTACTTACTGAAAGAGGTTGCTTTTGGTTAAGTAGAATGGAATTAACTAAAATCAACCCACAACCTAAATAAATTTAAATCACATTGAAATAGACTATGTTTTTAAATGAAGTCATTTCTTCACAATGGCATAAAATTAATAATTTTTTCTCATGTGTAATGGGAGCTATAAAGTTGTTACATGACAATAGTAATTAAGAATTTTAATGTGTGTATTTCCCCAAGGCCTGCCTCTGTGTACAATAAAATACTTTCAGACCCATCTCTGATTACTGCCTGCTTTCATATTAAATTTTGTCAGTGAGTTATTTCCATTTTTAATTAGTGGGCTTTCCCTTCCCTAGGCTTTTGTCATCTTTTGTGGCCTTGGTATCAACAACACAATTATGTATGATCAAGTGAAGAAGTCCTGGGCTAAGCAATCTGTGGCTCTTGATGTAAGTACTGTTTTTACATCAAAATCCTATGCTAAGGAGTCCCAGTTTTATGGAGGAAAAGGTATCCTTGGTGCGGGGTTTAATTTCTTGATTTTTGTTTAACTTTATTTGGAACGTAATCACTTTCAGGCCATAGTTTCAAATTTGGTGAAAGCCAAAGACGATCTCTAGAAAAATACACATATATACAATGTTTCATGTATTTTCAGATTCTTTGATGTCCATCCAGACATTTCCTATGGTTAGATGAGGATTTTTACATATTAGATCTATTAAATAGTGGTAAGTCAAAAGGCAAATTGTCAGGATTTAAAATGTAGTGTGAACTTAGATTTCAATATGTATAGATATTCTGCAGCTTCACAGATTTTCTTATCAAAGAAAACCTCACCATGAAAGTTTGCAGCCCAGATGGGAGAAGCTGCTCCAGTCATTATCCCGCTACCTGTTTTCCATGTGTGCATGTGCATGTGCACACACACACACACACACACACACACCTTATTTTGTCTCCCATGCTGACACTGTATAGCCTCTCAGGCCCACTAACTTCTGTAAAAGAGTTCTCCTTTCCCATGATTCTCAGGTGATTATTTTGACCCAAGAACTGTCATTTTTCCAGCATCCTGCTCTGCAGATAGATTTTGTTTCTGTCTATGAGATACTGATTAGGCAAGGCAGATAAAATCTTAGTGCCAAGTTAACAGCCCGCAGAACATATAATACATGTGCAGTCTTCAAAATATTGTGGCTACCAAGTCAGATTTTGGTAGAAAGAGAAAAGCAAGAGGAAGCATGAGTAGGCAAATTGATGGTACTCACAGTACTCTGGTTTAAGATTTTAAAAACAGGAAATTTTAGTTATCTAATTTATTCACTTTTTTCTTCCTGGCTAGACTGACTGCTGGAAGCAGACTTTTATTCTTTATATAATTTTATTTGCAATGCTTAGCAGGTTCTTAACACCGAGGAGAGGTTTATTGAATAGTTTTTGGGTGGAGAGGAAGAAGGAAAGAAAGGAAAGAACAATTTGCTGTTATTCTCCTGAGATAGCCCGGCATTCCTCACATGTGGCACACTTCCAGTAAGGACTGAAGTAATATCTGATGAAGCAATACATGGATGAACTGCAAACCTAACCCTGGATAAGTCTTGCTAGTAGGGCATTACAATCTGTGTGCAGAACTGTTTTTAAATAGTGGCTCTGTCGTCTCAATTGTGGGAATTAAATCAGATGATGAATGTGAAGATTTTAATGAGCAGTCGATAAAATCATGGCAACAACAATAGCCAGTCATATATATCTGTAGCAATATATTTATTGCTGAGAAATAATCAGGAGAAAGAGCAAAGGACAGGAATTTCGAATAGCAAATGTGAGTCATGCTGTCACCATATTCTGACTTCAGCAGAGTTGCCTCATCCCTTGTTTCTTACTTCCTTCAGCTATGAAAAGACCGTTCCATATACCAGTCATAAGTAAATCCTTGCTATCATGTCATGGTGTCACTAGCCTGCACAGAAAGCAACTCGCTCTACCCCACATCCTCACTCCTTGCCTGCCTCCTACTGCAACTTCATCCTGATGAGAAAGAGCTAGAACAACTGAGTGGCCACCGACCCTAGCAAAGAATCAGTGAAGGGCACCAGTCCCACTGGCATCACGTCCTAATGCCCCTGGGCCTCAAGGAGATACTGGTACTCAGAAGGTGCTGATGGCCCCCACCGCCCCTAGCCACAGTCCTTTCACCCATGCACTGCTTCTTCAGGAGAATAGTAAACACCCTCTTGTCTGTATAATTCAACTACCTTCTGTCCCTATATTAAAAACAAAGAAAGTATTACTTACGCTGTCGAATTTCTGGCTTAATTCTGAGCCTTATGAAAATCTCACCCTTAGGAGTGATTGACTTACATGTGCTAATTCGTAGGTTCTGTGTGCCTTATTTTGTGTCAGTTGTCAAAAGTGAAATTCCCGATCAGATCCTAGTGTAACTGTCTTGATTCTTTCCCTTCTACCCTCAGCCAAGCCTCACCACTGGGGACCGAATTCTTAACTCTAGTAGTTGGGTGACACCCATCCCACTCCCTGGCCTTAGAATCTGCGTGCAAGAGTGGCTGCAAGGATTCCTTATCCTCAGAACTTTATGAAGATTAAAAAAAAATGATTTTTTGAGAGCTACTAAACCTAAACTCAGGGATGAGATTTCCTTATTACTATAATGTGTTAACTTCTGGATAAATATATAAAGCTCATGTACTACAGATATTGTACATGAGTAAGTGTGATATTTTTTAAGTATTTCTATTAAAATTGTGTACTTATAGGTGTATATTTATAACCAACCTAGTCCCGTAAAGGATTTGAGGTACTTTATAAGAATACAAATGAGCTAGCAAATTGTTTTAAAGGTGAAATAATAATAACAAAGCCAAGAGAGAGAGAGAAAGCCATGGAAGACAGAAGCAAATGCAGGAAATGTGGAAGCAAATTCCACATCCTCTTCATTCCTCCTCTCAGAGGGCCTGGGCCAACCCATCCTCCTTTTCCATTGCAATGAAGGGGATATACCCCACCCAGTTTGGCCAGGTTCATCTTCTCTTTGTATTGTTTCAATTTTACATATTCTCTTTAGTCTTTATCCCTCTTTATCTTGTTTCAAGAAAAGCAATATTTAAAATATAGCTCTCTGAGCTAGGCATGGTGGTGCACACATGTAATTCAGCAGTCAGGAGGCTGAGGCAGAAAGGTCCACGAGACTTTGAGACCAGCATAAGCAACACAGGAAGACCAAAGAAAAAGGAGCTGTTGTTCCCATAATCTTATCACATTGCCTCTTATTTTTCAGTTAATAACAAGGGTGGAGGACAACAACCCATTCCTTGGGTCTCTTTTTTTTTTTTTTTTTTTTTTTTTTTTTTTTTTCTCCGGTACCGGGAACTGAACTCACGGCCTTGCGCTTGCCAGGCAGGCGCTTTGCCGCTGAGCTAAATCCCCAGCCCTCCTTGGGTCTCAATAACAGTAATCTCCCTGGATGCCTTTCCCTCCAGAAAGGGAGCAGCAATAGCTCAGGGCCTGGAGAGCCTAGGGGACTGCTTTTCTCCCATGTGTTCCAGAGACTCTGGAGAGACAGAGCAACACTGATCTCTTCTGTCTTTCAAACATCCTTCCTAAGGCATTTTTAATAAATACGGTGCATCCTCTGCAAGTAAATATTCTTCAGATAAATTCTCTGGAAAGACTAATTCCCACAAATTGGATTGAGTATAATCTCTGAAACACTCAAACCTGCCTGGAACCATTCTTTTCCAAACAAAATACATGGCTCTAACTTATTTTTTCTCCCATAAAGTGCTGATTTCCATGTATTTGTTTAGTACTGGCTACTTTTCAAATTGCTTTGAAGTGCCATTTTAAATTATACAAATTCGTATTAACACACACATATACATTATATATACAAGTATATTTCTTTAAATGTTAGTTTGTTCTACTGGTCTGGGAAAAAAACCAGAAGTTTATTGTTTTAAATACACTTCTGATACAGGTTTTACTTTGCATCAGTATCTTCTGCAGAAGAAGGCTTTATGCAAGCAAAAGCGGTATGGGTTGAAATTAAACATGCTGGTTTTAGCGTTAGTCTTGTTAGCCTAGTCTGGGTTGAATCTTGATCCAACAACTATTGACTCTGGGCAAATTATGTAACCTCTCAGTCTCAGGTAATTTCTACATTAAGTGGGTAGAAGAAGGCTGCCCTACACACTCCTGCTTCCTCAATTTTGCCTCTTATCTGTGGCCTGTATTGCTGGATATCTTCTTGCAGAAAATTCCAGCATATAGAAATACAAAATGCCCATGTCAAAAATAGGCAAGAGTTCTTCCAAGTTACACACCTCCAAAGGGGGAGCTTACCCTAAAAGATCTGCCTGCCTGGGGCCTCATATCACAACTTCAGCTCAACTTAGCCGTAATGCACAAGTGGTAAAACGTAGAATTATAAATATACACAACACTTTCTACTTTTCTGGCCTTTAAAAAATGGAGTGAATAACAATAATAATTGCCTAGATTTTATTTAACAGTTGGATTATCAACTCAATTATTTTGGCAACTGCTTCTCTTAATTTCTCATAATTTAGTTATGCAACTCTATTAAGCCCTTTTCCTCTAACACATAAAATTAATATTCCGAGGTTCTTAGAGGGCAGAGATGCTCTTACAGCCGAACAATAGAACAAAGAGAAAAATTTACTATCGCTTTTAATAATTTTAACTTTATGGTCCTGATTTCCATTCTGCATGGGTAGCCAAGAGCGCCGGAAGAGCTGTTTTAATATATGTTCACATCATCAGAGAGTAAGATGTTAAGAAGAAAGGGGGTAAACTTTACCTAGAAGTCAGAACGTGGAGAAAATGCGGTACAAATGTAGATGTAGACTATTACCTTCTCATTTTGCACATCAGGAATTGCCCTTTAGGGTGTCTTTCATAGTTATTGCAAATGAAGCCTTCCCTAATACTGATGAGAAATTTTTCAGGAAATATAAGTTTGTGTGCTAAGGGACACCTCACACAGCTTTTACGATCAGAGGAGGGAAGGAATGAGGGTCAAATAGAGGGTGAGAGAAAGGAATATATAATCAGGAGCCAAGCTCCATTTATTCTACCTCCCCAAAGCCTCCTCGTCTATTTCTTCCTTCCCAATTGCTACAGCAACCACCCTACTTAAGGGCTTCATTACCTCTAGCCGGGCGATTGTAATAGCCTTCTACTTGTTCTTCCTGAAACATTTTAGATTGCACCGCTCACCCACTCACAGCCATTAAAGTATTCCCACATTACCTATCAAAATATGAAAGTCCTGGTCTTTGGGGCCCTTCGAAATCTCACAGCAAACTACTTTCCTACCCTTGGGTCCCATAGCTCTCTTCAGAGTTCTATGCTACTTACAAACTCAAATACTTCATAGTCTACAAATCAGCCACCTGCTTCTCTGCTA